CTGGTTGCTGGTCTCGGCTTCTCCTACTACCACAGCTTCGTGCTAGAGGAGAAGTTCGGCTTCAACAAGATGACGGTCAAGCTCTGGCTTACGGATATGATCAAGGGTCAGGCTCTTGCTATTGCCTTCGGTGTTCCCATTGGAAGCGCTTTCTTGACTATCATCAAGAAGACTGGCCAAGGTTTCTTCTACTACCTGTGGATGTTCATGCTGGTTGTTCAGATCACGGGCATGACTATCTACCCGATCCTCATTGTGCCACTGTTCAACAAGCTGGAGCCGCTCAAGCCAGGCAAGCTCAAGGAGTCTGTCGAGGCTCTTGCGTCTAAGCTCAACTTCCCACTCTCAGAACTACAGGTTATCGACGGCAGCAAGCGCAGCGCCCACAGCAACGCGTACTTCACTGGACTCCCCTGGATCGGCAAGAAGAAGATTGTCATCTACGACACACTGCTTGAGAAGAGCACAGAAAAGGAGGTCGAGGCTGTTCTGGCACACGAACTTGGACACTGGAAGATGAACCACACTTCGCGACTTTTATTCATTAGTCAGGCGCATTTGTTCTACATGTTCGCCCTGTTCTCCGTCTTCATCGACAACCGCTCGCTATATGCCGACTTCGGTTTCCATAGGGAACAGCCGACAATCGTTGGCTTCATGCTCTTCAACGAGATCTTGTCGCCCACTGACTCCATCATCAAGCTTCTCCTCAACATCTGGACTCGCAGCATGGAGTACGAAGCCGGTATGTAAACTGATGTAATTCATGTCTCGATGAATGCTAAACATCCAACAGATGCTTTCGCCGTAAAGCTCGGGTATGCGCGCGAACTCGGTGCCTCATTGATCAAGCTTCAGATTCAGAACTTGTCAAGCATGGATGCCGACTGGTTCTACTCGAGTTTCCACCACTCGCACCCAATTCTGACCGAGCGCCTCAAGGCTATGAACTGGACTGGCGACAAAAAGGTCTCAGAAGACAAGGCGGCGGACGAGGAGAAGCCTGTGAAGGCAGCGGATCGAGAACTCTAGGCGTGCATCTCGATCGGAATTTGTACAATATCGGGTATAAAAGGTCATAAGTACATGACCGCGCAGAGTCGCAAAAGCGACAGAGAATTCGTAGATTACAGCTCGAGTGCAATGGCCAATGTGTCTGTCGAAGTCGTTCCAGTTTGCGCTTCGGTGTGTCCTCCAAGTCGTGATTTCTGGCACCTTTACTCAGTCGACTTCCCTTTGGCCGCCTTGTCCTTTTTCCTTTGCTGATCTCGCTCCTTCTTCGCCCTCTTCCTCGCTTCCTTGTCTATCTGGCCATCCGCTGGGGCCTGCTCCTCCGCCTGCTCGTTCTTCCTCTTCTTCTTGTCCTTGCCCTTGGTCGATTGTACTTGGGGCTCCTCACCACCCTCCTGCACAACGTTTGTCCTATCCCCAATCTCGCCAATCTCAATGTCCCCTTGCTCCGCTTGATACGAGGCCAAGTCTTGCCAGTCGTCATCGGCACCTGCAGCTTTCTTGCCCGTCTTGCCCTTGCCACCACTAACAGTGACGTCGGCGGTGACATCTTGTTGGTCTTCTTCGAGATCCAGCGCTCGCTCTGGCTCTTGGTACTCGCCGCGCATACCCGCTGCTACACGGCGCAAGTGGTGCATAATTGGGTTACCCATGGCACCGCCTTGCGCATTGAATGCGACGCCTTCTGGTGTGATTGTCGCATCGGGGTGGAGGTGTGGGTGCGTTTCTGAGTTTGAGAGGTACTTTTCTAGAATGCTGGATGCAGCGCTGAGGGAGATGGGCGCGCTGGAAATGTAGCGACGAGGAGGAGGCGCTTCGAGAATCATTTTTTGCAGTTGTTAGGCAAGGCACGAAAAGGGTTGGTGGGCGGCTGATACTGTGAAAGTGGTCAGGTTCTTGGTGAGGTTTTTGGGAAGACGGGCAACTTTTGCGCACGGACAACATCTTTCTTCCTAGCTCTGCGGACTTGCGACGGACATGCCAAACTGCACGCTCGTATCTACATATCGGAACCACGCCGTAACCAAGACGCTACAACGGGCGACGAGGAGGCAATTGCGGTTCCAACACAAATCATGAACGCATTCCGGTGCTTAAGGGTCGTCGCGCGCCCGACAACCAGCGCATCCACACTCCTCCGACCACGCATAGCAACACCACACCGGTGCGTTCCCCTCCCCAAACCCCCATTCACCCATCTGACTTAACATCCAGACTATCCACACCCTCTTCGGCCCGCCAAATATCCCTCCTCACACCCCGGCGCCCCATACTGCCCCGCACAAGCACCCTACCACTAGCGGGCAGCACATCTTTCGTACCTTCAACTTCCGAGACACTAGACCTCGCCTCGAAAATCTCGTCACATCCTGGTCTGGGCAGCACGCAGATTCGGTGCGGTCCGCGTGACACGTATAACCCGAGTCATCTTGTGCGGAAGAGGAGACATGGGTTTTTGAGCAGGATTAGGACGAAGAAGGGGAGGAAGCTGATTATGAGGAGGTTGAAGAAGGGGAGGTGGAATATCAGTCATTAGAAGATGTTGAGTCAGGTGGCAGGCTGCTGAATGATTCCCGAAACACAATTTAGATGGGAAAGGCGAAGCAAGGGCGCTTTGTGTATATTGAATGTACAGTGTGTATGCGTATTCTGCACATAGAGGCATGTACTATATAGGACGAGAGAATCCGTGCCCCCCTGACGTCGACACCGCTGGTCCCTTGTGCCTCTCTACCCGACTGCTGTCGCTATCGTTCATCCTCTCTGAACCAGATCGCACCGGGCAGCGCGTGCATTACTAGCCCCATATCCATAGTTTGAACACCCTCTTCATCAACACAAAACTCTCTCTGAATCTTGGCTGCTCCCGTGTTGGCAGCACCGTTGTGAAACTGGCTAGAAACTTTGGTTGACGACCGCCCACCTGTCGAGGAGTTGGGTCCGGCGCTTGATGGCAACCGCGAAGGCTTCTCGGGCCTTGAAATCGGTGCAATGTAGGTGGAATCAGCACCTAATGGATGCTCATTTCCATGAAACTGTGGTGTCCAAGGACAGAAGATTGCTGTCGCATCACTCTGGTGTCGAGGGTTTTGCATCTTCAGCCTTTCCCTCGTCTTCCACCCCCTGCGTGCCGTCCTCCAACGCCTCCACGAGCTTGAGCTCTTCATCCACCTTGTCAATTTGCTTCAAAATAAACGCAATCGTAGCATCCCTTGCCTTATCCACCCTCGTCAGCGCATTCATAGCCATCTTTCCATAATCCTGCAACTTCTGCGGCGTCGGCGGCTCAGGCTCCTCATTCTGCAACTTCGCCTTCTTCTCACTCAACAATTTTCGCAGCGCAAAGATATTGTAATCCCTCTCTTGCAGATTCTTCACCAGCTCTTCCCGTCTAGCTTCTTCATCGACCCTTTGTTTCTTAGTAGCCTGCTCTTTCTTGATCTCCTCTTCGGCGACTTTCCATTTCCAAATGGCTTCTTTGGCGCAGTTCTCAATGTGCGTGAATCGTATGGGACCGATATTTTGCCCTCCATACCAGCGCGCAACTACTACAACACCTTCGGTCTGCGTGTCTCGCAGTACATTGCTCAGCCGTCCTCCAGCCCACTTTTCACCGTCGTCATCATGACCTAGATCATACAAAGTACGGGATTCTGGCATCAAGGACTTTTGCCGTGATGGTTTCCGCCATGCTGCGATTTTGTGGGTCGCAGTCCGAAATTCAGGGAGTGTTTGGAGAACTTTGGCGGAGAGATTGGGAGAGAATGCGGCTGTGAAAGTGGATGTCTGCTCTTGTATTTTCGAGGAGCGATATATTTCTGATGTGGGCTTTGGAGATGGAGAACGCTCCCTTTTCATGGCTATTTCGTCTAACGGTTTGGTTACACTGAATGTGTTGTTGTTCAAGTTGAAGAAAGGACGGGAGGTTGGCAAGTGGCAGGGAAGGCGCATCCATGGATGCTGAAGCGTGACTAGCGCAGATGCCGAACAGACGTTGTGTTAGTTGTCAGCACTTCTTGGACAAAACACCATCTTCACTCATCGAAGGTCTATCAATTCTCCAACCCTTATCATCCCTCATAGGTCCTATCTAGCTACCAATCGTGTCTAAGGGTTTTTGTCTGGTTCATAGCATCTTCTTTCCAGACCATTAAGGACTCCCTCATTTGTTCGTTGTTGGACTCTGCTCGAATTGTACGATTTGTATTCCTCCTGTCTAAGCACTGCATCCTACCAAGCACATTTATGCGACAAAATGCTAAACACACATAGTCATCGCTCAGGCAGTCAGACAAGGAACTTCAATACGGTCAAGTCTGTCTCTTCTCTCACTACGATCTTCAAACCAATTGTTGCTCAAGCATATATATCTTCACCAGCATAATCTTCATACATGCCTTTCTTGTCTCTATCATCGTTACATGATCGATATCCAATCAGCGACAAAGGTGCTCTACTTGTCGGCAACGCCGCGGGCACCCGGTGGTGCCTCTGATCTTTCACTTCGCAGTTTGACGAACACGTCACACCAGGCGCACGAGATCAAATCTTGCAATATCCACCCCACTTATTCATTAGCAGAATGCTCCGCTACGACTAGAAATCCGCATCAAGCGAGTACCTCTTACTGCCAGCGTGCGGGAGAGTATATAGGCAACGATATCTTACCTTCGACACTGACCTTCTACCACCCACTTCCTGCTTCAATATTACCGATATTTTGCGCAATCAAATCGTTTACTTACGGCAAGTCAAGGTAAGCTCATGCGACTTGTTCAATGCAGGTCTTTCGCCCTCAATTGTGGCACGGTTTTCCTTGGTTCATGCGATCTTTTTGCTCCAATCCACCAACTCGCATGCGACACGAAACCTCTTACTAATCCATCGGTTGACAGGTGACTCTGGTTACCATCTTCGAGCTTTGAGAGGATCTTCTTCAGTAGGCGAAAGCTTGTCGGATCGTTTGTCCGTACAATCCAGCCATCATCATGGGCCGATTTGACACCCTCAACGCCGAGACCAAGGATCTGGTGGAATGCCTTCTTCCCGCTCTGGCACAATCCTTCGGTCTCACTGACTGCAAAGACATCATCCCGGAAGACATCCGCATGCGCGCCTGGGACTGTGAGCGCCGCGACCACATCATGGACAAGACTGAGAACGACCCTCGCAACTGGGGTGTGCAGTTTCTCAAAGACTTGAGGGCCATCTCGCGTCTCAAGAACGGAAACCTCGACGAGTTCCACGTCGATCTGCGCGCCAAGGTTGCTCTTCATGAACCGAAGCATCCTTGGTGTCGTCTGGCCGATATCAAGGAGATCAAGCTTGATTACGAGCACCCAGAGCGCTTGAACCCAGTCGAAAAAGAAGAGTCATCTGAAGAGTCATCTGAAGACTCCTACTTCGAAGAGCTTGTCGAGCCAGATCAACCTAAGGGTTCAAAGAAGCGCCGCGGCAACCACGAGATTTACGAAGCACGTGTTCTGGAGAAGCGCCGCAAACGTAAGTCACCTCTGACGTACCACGAATGATGGAACAAACACATGATTCACCATTACAAACCTTCAAACCTCGGGCCAAGTTACTAATATTGAGTAGATCCGCCTAGCCGTCTCCGTCGTGCTGAGTCTGGCGGCTACCAGCGTCACGATAAATACGCGAACAAGCGTAGCCGCTCCGTTCGCACCAGCGCCACTCCCGAAGGTCGCCGCCCCGTGATCCACCGTCCTACTAGAACCGTCCTCACCGACGATGAAGACTCCGTCAGCTCTTGCGGTGGCCGGTCCCTTCTTCCCATCCGACTCCTGCCTTTTCCGTCTCCCCTGGTCCTCAAGGAGCGCGCATGTACCCCATTGAGACCACCGACACATGCAACGAGCCTGTTGCGGTTCAGAAACTTCAGGCTGAGTTGGAAGTTGCGGAGGCTGAGCTCAAGGCTGCGCGTTTGAAGTACCAGTACCTCCAGGCTAAGGAACAGGCTGAGAACGAGTCTTTGTATGGGGGTAGCGGTACCGCGGAGATGCCTCGTCGGTTTGATTAGTTCTCTCTGGTGGATGTAATTAGAAGATCGCATGCGTTCATGAAGTAAATTTGGGCTGTCTATGTAGGATCGATGCGTGTAGGATTGTAGCGGGGCATCTATGGTAGGACGGGTGGGACGGGGTCTATGATAGCAGTAGCAGGAAGTACGATCGTCGCTGGCGGAAGGCGGTCCAAGATCAATAAGCTCCCTTTCTTGTCCATAGTCAAATGTACCTCTTTCATGCCTAATGTCATCCTCAATGCCTTCTCCACGCTGTTGCCATGTCTGGATGTTGCACGTGGATGGGGACCATGGTCGATGTCACATGTTTGCGCTCGCTACTCGATTTGACTTCGGAGATTTTGTATTTCTGCTTCTCTTTGCTGGTGCGCATTTGACGCATCTCGCTGTTTCGGCTCAGCCATGTATGATTGGTAGAAGAAGTCCCCCGCCGCTCTATTGCCCACCAATCATCAAACTGACATGCAAGCCAGTCTCGACACTAGATGCTTGATGATTGATTGTGTGTGGGGTATCTACAGACCTTGGTAAACCTATGAAGCTTAACATCCCCTTCCCGCACTTGGGGCATACCCACTCGATGTATCTCTCTGCTTGGGCAATGGTCTCGAGATTAGGTAGAACACCACTCGTGGCTCGACCTGCGTCGTTCCAGAACATGTGATCTGACATGCAGTCTACCCCACAGTGCTTCCTTACGGGCCAGGTACGCGTTTCTAGACTACTCGGTACGACTTCCATGCCACTTGCACCTGCCTGTTTTGAACCCAGGCAAACCCATTCTGCGGGCGGACCAATTAGGAACTACGCTCCGCTAGCGCGTCTCCGCAAACCTTCCCCAGATCGCCTGATCATCCCGACACCGAGGCTCTTGGTTCTTCAAAATCATCATGCACGCAACAGGACCCGTTACCATGGAGCAGCCATCTCAAAAACGAGTATCCAAAGCGTGCGACGCGTGCAAAAGGAGGAAAGTGCGTTGCAACGGGCAAACGCGCTGCCAGCAATGCGCCCATCTCGGTTTGCGGTGCATCTACTCACCGTCCGGCAAGCAAAGGTCTCAGGGCAAGAGAGGCCATATCATCTCCGAGTTCAGAAATCAAACGTCCAGCCAGCCAGCCATATCGCCGCCAATACTGCCTGCTCATTCAGGAGCAGCCAGCTTCCAGACGCCATACAGCCCCATCTCGCCAATACTTGACCGCAATGGAGGCACGCCGAGTATGTCGCGCTGGTGACTTCAACCCCAATGGAAAATACTGCTGCTGACTCAGGGCAGCATCTCCCTCGCCATCATTCACATCGCAGTACACTAAAGCTTATTTTCTCGACCTTATCCCGGATTACGTCGATGGGGTGTATCCCGTACATCCGGTCATTGCCGAATATGAGCTCAGACAATACATCGAGGTCATGGACAACGATCCAGACGTTCGCTCATTCATTTTTGCTTTTGGCGCTTGTACGCTGAATCTTACGCGCTATGGTGATCGCAGAACAGATGAAGTCGTTCAAACGATCGAAAGTCTTATGGACTACTCGGTTGATACTATGAGGCGAACCCACAAACATTGTCAAGTTTCTGTTATGCGAGCTGTGCAGTCAATGTTCATACACAACTGCCTCATGAGTCTATCAGGTAGCGACAGCGCATTCTACTACATGCGCGACGCCATTACAATCATTCAGCTCCTGCGGATAGACAACCCAGAGAACGTGTCACAGCTAGCTCCTCCTGAGCGATCTCGAAGACAGCGGCTGTATTGGCAAGCGTACATACACGAGCGATTTCTAGCTATATTGGACTACCGACGAGCTATTCTGCCTCCGCTCTACACCCTGCCAGAAGACGACCCGACACTTCCGATACAGATTCACGAAGGCTTCAATCAAATTATCAAGCTTTTCCGCATGCTCGACACAGAATTTCTAGATAGCTGGCTTGGCTCGCAAGGAGGCGGCGTGACGAGCACCTGGGTTGAGGCCAAATCGCGCGAGCTTGAAGGCGACCCCGAAGCCGATGCACGAGAGTTGGCCATGCTGTCCATGATGCAAAGGGCCGATTTGTGCATCACCCGTGAGTGGCTGCGCACTTTGGTCTGGCGCCTGGCTATGAGCCAGACTCTCCTATCATCCCGCTCTTCGAAAGAGTGCTTGTCGCTCTTATTCCCGGTACGGCTGTCACAGACACTACGGCAACAACTATCAAGCATGTCGCGCCAGGACATTGAAGTACACGGAAGCAGCATCACCCAAAAGCTTTTCGAAATCACAGACACCATTGCCGATGTCCTGATCCATGTCCCCGCGGCAACCATCGATGAAACAGCACTACGGGTTGACGATTTCCTTTTCATCCTAGACTTTGTCTTATTGATTCCACATCTTGATCAAACACGGCGCGGAATTTTGCAAGAGAAACTGTTACGGCTCCAAACTATGTTCCCTGAAGCGCTCAGCAACGCTAGTTCGCCGAACCTACCGCACGATGTGAATAGTCCTGGTGGTGCGAATGACCCTTGGTATCAAGTCACGCAGTCGAAGACAGCTGCAGGGTTAGAAGATTTAGCCGACGAATTGGTGCAGAATCAGACCCAAGAGATCCCGAGATCGGAGGCGAGAAGCGGTCAATTGGCTACTTGGAACAACATCTCCCATCGCTTGTCGATGCAGGTCGCTCATGTAGCTCAGTGAATTGTAGCACTAATCTACTTGTTCCGATGATACCATCTATGCAAGTAAATAGATCCTGCCTTCGAAAGCAGCCAACTTGTTCTCCTCACAATCATCCACACTACTAACAAGCAAATTCAACTTCTCGTTCCTCACACTCTCCGGAAGCACCAAATCCCTCGTTTGGTCCGTGAAGTTGCAGATACATACCGCCCTCTTCTCATTCCACGTCTTGGTAAAGATGAAGAAATTCGGGCTCTCCACGTCCAGATCGTCGTACTGACCATGTACAAGGACATCATTGTGCTGCTTGCGTACTTGCAGCATGCGCTTCCAGAAGGCAAGCACGGAGTTCTTGTCTGTTTGTTGTTGTCTGGCATTGCATACGTCGGCATCTTCGAGGGGTCGCATCCAAGGTTTTGCTGCAGCATCCGGCGGCGAGAAACCATTGTGTGGCTCAGTAGACCAGCTCATTGGCACACGAGCATGGTCCCTAGCGAGGTGCTGAAGCGATTTGTGCGCCTCTTCGAGGGCAGCAGGATCGTTCTTCGTCCGTGCAGCTACCATCTTGTAGTAGTTGGTAGATTCGACGTCTTTGTACTCGCTCAGATCCCAGGTTAGAGGGAAGTTCGTCATGCCGATCTCTTGGCCTTGGTAGATGAACAATGTGCCGCTGAGTGCTGCCATCATTAATGCAAGCATCTTGCCGCCTGCTACGCGATGTTCAGGCGCATCAGAGGTGAAGCGTGTGATCGATCGGCTTTGGTCGTGGTTCTCGAGGAAGGCAGTGGTCCAGCCATCTGAAGGGGGGCGGATGAGATCTTGTGTGCGGGCCACGGCACGCTTGAATTGTGGGAGAGTCCAGTTCCCGGGTGTGGTTTGGAATTTGTAGGGACCTTGGCCTACGTCGACGACATCCTGCAAGACTCATTAGTTGCTGAATTCACTTAGAATTTTGCTGTATCCGCGTTTGCTTACGAATTGAAAGACCATGTTTAGTTGCTTTTCTTTCGCGCTGACGTATTCTAGTACTCTCTTCATATCGAGTGTGTGTGGACATTCGCCAACTGTCATGGCATCGTATTTCTCTAGGATTTGGTTCATCTCGTTCAGGAACTCCGCCATTCTTGGGCCGTTGCAGTACTGGTACCCAGCAAACTGCCACTCGGACCCAGGATCGGTAATTGGCGCGTCCAGCATTTCACCCTTGCTGTACATGTTGACGGTATCAACGCGGAAGCCGTCGACACCGCGCTTTAACCAAAACTCCATGGCAGACTCGTAGATGGCTTTTCGGGTCTCCGGGTTTTCCCAGTTGAGATCAGGTTGCTCGGGACAGAAGAGATGTAGGTAGTATTCTTGGGTATGTTCATCCCATTCCCATACACTACCTGTAAAGTTGGAGATCCAGTTGTTGGGGGCTTTCCGCTGGCCATCAACGTAACGAGCCGGTCTCCAGATGTACCAGTCTCTCTTGGGGTTATCTTTTGATGACCGTGACTCTTGGAACCATTTATGCTTCACCAAGTCAGCTTTGCGTGAGTTGTGATTGAGATGTCAGTCGAGACGTACCTGGTCAGACGTATGGTTGACTACCAAATCTAAGATAATCTTCATGCCTCGCGAATGTGTCTCGGCAATCAGTCTCTCCATGTCTTGGACGGTACCATACGGTCTGTACACATCCTCATAGTCACGGATGTCGTATCCCACTAAGTCGTAGCACGCGAAGTTAGCGCACGCTTCACGTGCAATCTATAGAAAGATGTTGCTTACTGTCGACTTGGGGTGAATCGTACATAGGACATATCCAGATGACGTCAACACCGATGGAGCGGATGTAGTCCAGCTCCGAGATGATACCGTTGAGGTCACCAATGCCATCACCGTTGGAGTCTTTGAAGGAGGCAGGGTATATCTGATATACGACACCATCCTTCCACCAAGGCCTTTGGGGGACGGTCATTGTGTTGCTATTGAAATATCGTGTTATTCGTAAAAGCCTGGCTACCTAGGTATGGTAGAGATAGCACGTAACGTCAAAGAGAGTAGGCGTTTCTTCGGTGGCTTACAATGGTGCCAGTAGCTTCCTTATAAACGTGTCGCGGTATGGATCTTATCAGATGGAGGAAGTTGTCGTTGAGGTCTAATCAGTGGATTCTGGCGCACGTGGAGGTCCGGAAGAACTCTCGGCAGGATTTTTCGAGTGCACATTCGCCGAACCTCGGACCGGCTGCTAGAGATGGCGATCCCCACACAACTGAATACCAGCTTCCCCACAGATGTTTTCCATCGCATGCGATTTCAACGGTCTCTCCCACGTA